TTGAAAATGTATTGTCCTTTTTATGTCATCAGAAAATTCAGATTGATAGCTTCCCTTCTTTTTTTATCATTGGAAAGAATATGGTTAAAAATATCTGGAAATAAAATGATAATTTGAGTGGATCTTATAAGTATATACATGAATTATATATTGACTATATAGCCCTTGGAAGTATTTCATGGATTAATATTTTAAATTTCATACATGTTATCATTTGAAAATTATAAATTCATCTAAAAAAGAGGCTTATCATATTGTTTCTCATAAATGCCATACGATACAATCTACTGATGGTTGTTCACTTTCAGTAACAGACATTTCAAGTACAATGGAGTGCCTGGTGTTGCATTGCACTGCAGTTGCTAGTTGGGATTTAATCCATTACATTACACAAGGCCATGAATACTTCTTGTTTCTTTTATTAATACTGAAAGGGAGAACAATAGTAAGAATGAAAAAAATTTTAACTCGTCTAAAACTAGCTATTGAATTATTAGGAAATGTTAATACTTGTGAGAGAAAAATGATCAAATTCCTTCATTTAACTATATTGATTTAAACTTTTATTGGCCTGCTTTTGTAGGTGCTGCTGTAAACGTTATTATAATGTAATAATTTCGAGGGATTTTTGTGCGCAGTTCACGCACGCCTCACCGGCGCGCTCGCTCATCGCGCAGTGGCAGCTCAGCTTCATCGTCCTCACGCCGCAATGGCTATGCAGAAGGTCGTTCGTCAGCCCGAGCGTCCCGCAGATCCCGCTCCCCCATGTCAAACAGGCGCCGCCATGTGGGCACACGTGATGATCCTGTCCCTAACAAGTGCCTGGGTGTGTTCGGCCTCAGCACGCTCACCAAGGAGTCGCAGCTGCAGGACATCTTTGATAAATTTGGAGAGAACACGGTCAAGATTGTGACTGATGCCAAGGTTTGTTGTCGATTCAAATTGTAGTGATTGTGTAGTTAATTTTGCTTGGTTTGATGACATGTGCTATCTGGTGCGTTCAATTGGGGGTTCTAATCATGTTTCAATGTGTAGTTTGATGTTGAGCCTTTAGTTGTGAAAATATTAGTCATGTTTTATATAGCTGAAAATGTATTGTAATTTATATCATGCGATTTGAATCATTCTAAGTTGGTAGCGCCAAATTGATGCATATCAATCAGCTCCTGTAATGCTTTGGGTTTTATTCAACAGACTCAGACATCCCGAGGGTTTGGTTTTGTTTACTTCAAGTCTATAAAGCATGCCACGGCTGCCAAAGAAGCTTGTACTGGCATGGAAATAGACCGGCGCCGCATACGCGTGGACTTCAGCATCACGCAGCGCGCCCACACACCCACTCCAGGCATCTACATGGGCCGCCCCACAATGTGAGTTATAGCGATCATTCCATCTTGTACAGTGAACATCTGCTGCTACTTGATTTAGTGATTTAGCTGTATTAATTTAAACTATTTAAAAAGTTGCGCGATTATAACTTATTTTTACATTTTTCCTAAATAATGATTCCTTCATCATCAGTATTGCGTGAAGCCTGGGACGAACACCTGGATCATTGAAAGTTTATTCATTTCTGTGGCAAATGTAGTCTTGTATTAGCTTAGCCTGCGTTCGGGATCTGATAGTATCTTCATGTAAGCAGGAATGTCGTTTGGCGTGAAGAGAGGCAAATGAAGTCTATGGCTGTCTTCTTGTTTCATCTTTGAAGGCTCAAGTTTCGTGAAGAATGATACCAAAAAGAGTCTGTGTGCTCGATGTGCAAACTCAAATCCGTAGCTGCGGGCAGCTGTGTAGAAGACCGTCAAAGAAGCTATATAGTTTTGCGGCCTCGCGCGCGTCTGAAGATGAACTCCCATCTTACCTTCAGCGACAAGCATGTTCGGTTCACTGTGTCGATGAACGCCAGTAAATTCGAAAAAACACGCTACTGCCGCTCCTCGTACTCTATTTAGTTTTTAGTTTATGAAGAGGAACAAGATTTTTAGTACCACAACTTTGTGAGTTATCCATTCCCTACTATTAAGTGTCGTACGTTTCTATTTTCTCCTCCTGCCATAGACACGTTCCTTATTTATATGCAGAGTGACATGAGAACAATCAAGGGTAAAGATTTGTGAGAAATAGATTCAACACTTAGCTACTTGTTTAATTCTTTTTGTTACTATGCTAGTTATCGAAAATTTCGTATCTCTCTGGGTCTTTATGTACGATGAATAATAGTGCGTTTGAATTGCGGCAGTACTGCGCAGCTAAAATGTCTCGGCATTTTCCACTAGCAATGTTTTGCAATTTTACTTGTATTAATTCTAGTAGATAGCATTATCAATTGAACTTTATTTCAGAATCTGGTTGCAATTGATGCTGATACCTGGTAAATGATTGCACTGTTATGCCTAACTAACACCTTTTAAAGTTTACTATGAATTTCATGATTTGCGTTCTCTTCTGATGGAATACATTGTTTCAGCCGCAGTGATCGCTATAGTAGCTATGGTGCTGGCGGTGGTGGATATGGCGGCAGCTACAGCAGAGGCGGTGGCTACAGAGACCGTGACCGCGAGAGCCGCTACCAACGCTCCCCCCCTCGCTACCGAAGCAGCTACTCCAGAGACGGCGCAGGCTATGGCGGCGGTGGCGGTGGTGGTGGTGGCGGCGGCAGCAGCTCTTCATACCGCCGTTCATCACGTTCCGATTATTACGGCGGGGGCGGCTCCGGCCGAGATTATGAAGCCTCGGCATCTGGGTAAGCGATTTAAGTGGAGAAGACAGAAGCTCGCATGGATGACGAGTGGAAGAGAGCGAAGGAGGTACAAGAATTCTGAAATGTCACGTCCCAGAGGACTCATGACAAGAGGCCGCTTGTGAATCCTTTCTTATCAACTTCTTTCGGGAGAAGATTTCATTTATTTCGTAAGAAGTTTTGGGATTAATGAAGAGATGAAGTTTTGTCGAAGAATTAGTGTCGCCTATCCTTAGCAAGGTAAGCCGAATTTGACAACGTCAAATTGGCGTAAGCCTAAGCTCTGGATGAGAGGTCGCCATTAGCTTTCTTAGCATCCGTCTGTCTCGAAGTCTTCTATCTGCGGCATTTTGTGTGTTTAGTGCTCAGCATGTGACATTTGGCGTTCCTTTTTATTATGATCACTTATTAATCCCTTCAGTATGATCGACGTGACCCAAAGTTGATATTATATAGGACTTCTGTGTGTAGAACACACGGCCACGGCGGTAAACTGTAAGCCGAAAAGGTACACAAACAAGGGCGTAGACGAGTTTCGTTGTTAGATGTGCGCAGGCTAAGTGGCCTGAATCAGTTTGAAACCCAGATGTCATAAGCAGCTGTCCTGCATCGACAATACCGGGTTCTGAGTCGTATAACTAGACTTCATTGTTATTTTGATGATACTTTCGGTGAGGAAAGTTATTTTCGATCGTTCTCTTTAATTTGTAGTAATGCATAACATAACTTCATCTCGATAGTCATTCCTCTCGTCACTTCTAAAGTGACGAGCTAGCCTTCTACAGGTATGGGCCTGTATTCTCAAAGGAATCCTTCAAATCACATTGCCAGAGAAACATTATATCGCTTTATCGGGGCTTTTCACTTTTTAGTGAAATCAAAAGTGAATTCGTGTTGTTTTTAACATCCTTTCGATAAATTCTAGTCAACGCCATTGCGGACTATGAATTTATATCATTTTGATGTGTTGATATGAACTTTAATATAGGTTTTGCAGTTTTCTTGCGTCCCCAATCAAAAGCTCGGATTTGGCTGAAAAACGTAAGTATTTTTTTTATGAAGCCTTATCGTCTGTAGCGATGGTACTGTCATCAATTACCTACAATTTAAGATGCTTTTTGCAGTTATGATCGCGGAGCAAGCAACTACCGCAGCGGTGGTGGAGGTGGCAGCTACGAGCAGCGTGGCGAGTATCGACACGAGCGCAGCTACAACGGTTCGGGTGCGAGTGCCGCCCCATATGACGCTCGCTCCTACGACCGTTCGTATGAGCGGAGCTACGAGCGTAGTGGATACCGCTCTCGATCTCGCTCTGACTCGCGTGGTGAGCACTAGCACATTCTGTACCTCGTGGAAAAGTATGAACAAAGCGCAGTAAATGTCATCTGAGTTTTCAGCTCCTAGAAAGAAATGTTAAATCGGATTGTTTCCAGTTGCTAACATCGCGCTGTAAAAATTAGTCAGTCGGGACGTACTGTTAAGTTGTGCAGTTTTTGACTGTTTTTATTGGTCTGGCCGGCCTGCAGGATTTGAGATTCATGATTGAAGTTTTCTGTATTTCGGTCTGATCTCAAGGCATCTTCTACAGGGCGTTATCGCTACTAATTGCCTCGAGGGAGCCGTCGATGCAAGAGTCTCGAGGCGTCTCTGTGTGCAGCACGCGAGGTTCCCATGAACAGCGGCTTATTCGCTCCACTTGTCTTGATATCATTTAATATTCTTGACTGTTCTAACTTCAGGATATCCTCTCTTAGTATTGTACCAGTGCAAGTGTCGTTATGTTCAGTTCTTCACTAGCAACAGACTCTGTAATGTCATGTTGGTTTTTCGTAACGTAATTTGCGTGGACGATCTCCTTGAATTTAATTTAACAAATACAGAACGAAATCTTTCAAATATCAGTTTATGCTAAATTTTCGAGGTCATGAATTTCTCATCTCGTTAATAGTTTGACTTTTTAAAGGTGCGTGTGCGAAAACTCCAGGCTTTGATTTTGCGTTGCACATTTCTACCGATATTTGAAGGCGTTGATATTTTTATCAAGGTTTAAAAATAATTTTTACTTAACGCGAGAAATGTCGAATATTTGAATATGTTCATGAAAGACATTAATTGGGAATGAAAACCGCATAGAAGTGCGAGCACGAAAACTTTCGTTTTGTCTCAATGAGGCATCAAATCTTGATAGTTTTTCTCAGACCTGATGAAGATAGTACAAATTTGTTTTTCTGATGTGCTTTCGTTCGTTGGGTGAAGAGATGAGAAAATACTTTGATTCGTCCTGTATTAAAGAAAGCGACATAAATTGGCTCTTACTATCCACTACATCTCTTGAAGTAAATTCAAGGATTGTTCTTGAATTCCTAAACACGATTTGCTGTGTAGTGTTAGTACGAGTTCATTTCTGTACCATTCTGCTAACGATTTTGTTGTACATATTGAAAATTTCTTTGTAAATAGTTCATAATTCGGATCAAATTCTGTCGCCTCGCTCGGATTCTAGTCACCTCGTTTAACGATATCTAAATCCTTAGAAGAAACTTGAACTTGGATCACTTGCGTGTCCGGTTTCCATTTGAGCTTAAACTTGCACCTAAATTCTGATGAGCAAGGGTAACTGGTTTTAAATTGATTAAACGCCAGAAAAGGTGGAATTTAAAGCATTTCTGATACAATTTTTCCGTTGTGAGGTTTTTGCGAGGTACCACATTCTGAGCGCCTCTCGCTTTTGGCAGAATTGTGGTGCCAATTCTAATCAATTTGTGCATTATCGTCCGACAATGCGAGCGAGACTAAAAATGTTGTGTACATATTTCTATGGTAAGAATTAATCATGCAAGTTCTTTTTTTCATGTATGCTGTAAATTTTCAAACGTGTGCTTAGCGTACTTAAATGCTTTCATTTCGTGTTTTCACAAAACCTTGATTACATTTTGTCGTTAAGTAAATCATGAAACGTTGATCCAGAGTTGAGCCTTCCGATCTCCAAGTTGTCCCGAACTGAGTCTCCTTTTACATCACGAATCGCACTTCGTATTTTCGTTATGGGCATTATGTATTGCAACTTGATTGTCAGATCATCCTAAGGTCTCCTGATTTCACTAGTAATACATTCAATCGAATTGAATCTGCCGACTCATCAATACTTACGTATATTTTGGTGTTCGTAGTAATTATTCTGCCTATTTTGTTTTGTGCGGCTTAGAAAGTTTTGGCGTTTTAATACTTGATTAATAAAACGTATGCAGTCAATTTGTGTTTATTGCATTTTTAATTATCCAGTCTTTCCGGAAGTGTTTCACTAGTGTTTAATTTTCCATAGGATTATTGATGCCGCCATGATTGATCGGTATTGATTAGTACAACGTGCATCTCCATTAGAGCATTAGTACAACATGCATCTCCATACGTGCTGTTACGCGATTGACGACTACATGGAAGTTAGCGATTATTGTGAACGGCTGCTGTCGGAGATGTTCTGAGCGACTCATTTGTGATTGAACCAGCAAACAGACGCCACGATAATCGAATTTCAAGGGTGCTACACCGCAGTTAGCCGCTGACTTGTCTCCAATATGATTTTTTCACAATGTCCTCATGCTCTAAATTCTCCCAAATGTCAACTTTATAAGCAATTGTAGCTGATTTCGAATCACGGGCAGTAAGATACATTTTATGGACTTTATATTATGACTGCTACCCCACTGAAGCAAACTGCTAGTATTTGACAATTTATTTGCCTAGTAAATGACGGCGGAAATTGAGATAACAAAAAATGAAGCGTTCCGAGTTCTAATTCCTAAAACCTAACGGTTGCTACAATACAGTTCACAATAAAGTGCTCATTCTAGACCTTTACTGAACAGCTTGGTTATTTTATTTTCTTCAATTTTTAAGGGGTTGGGTTATTCAACCCGTCATCGTAGCGCTCGCTTCAAAAAACCGAACCGTATGCGCCCTGGCGTGCGTTTCCAGAAGTTTGGAGGGAAGATCATGTCCATCAAAATTATGTGATTTGTGCGCCATAGCCAAGCTGAAAACTTCAGCACTAATGCTTTCCGGTCGCCGGTCAGGGGGCGCGTTATGTGTTCTGTGAGCACATTGCTTACAATAAGAGAGCCTCCATTAGAAAGATTTGTGTGCGTTGCAAGATCGACGATAGTAGGTAAAATGACAGTGTCAAAGGTATTATAATTAGTGAAGAATATAAAATATGAATCAAATATTTCACGCCATTAGTGACTATCTGGCTATGAAAATATTTCAATTTGTGTGGAAAATATACTGAGAATTTGAGGAAAAAATTATTCACCGCTCTCGTTTTGCTTTCCAATCGTGTCCTGATATTTCCCTTGTGCCTATTGAGACAGAAATAATGAAGATAGCGTGTTATTACGAGAATTGACAGCAATTATATGATCTAAATCATGGTTTCCAAAAATTTTCGTGAACATAAGAACAGCAGGCTTCCTTCATGCCTTCACAAGGCAGGGTGGAGGGTGGCCCAGTGGTTACAGTTCAGAGTACCAAGATTGGAGCAGAGAGGCGCGGGTTCGATCCCAGCTCTGTGCGCCAGTTTCTGGTCAGAATCGGCGAGGAGGCCGGGCGGTTAAGCAGAGCAGATTTGTATCGGTGAGTTGCAAGTTCAAGACCGCAAAATTCTGTGAATGTTCTGCGATGTTAAGAATCGGCGACAGGCCTACGGCCTAATGAACGCTGAAACCGCTATTATTATTATATATCCCAAGTATAGACTAATATTGAGCAAATTTACAAGTGTAGGCCCATATTGCCCCATCATACCACCTACCCCAACTTATTGCCGTCAATGAATGGATTTACATCCTCACTTGCCCCGCCTCTCCACCTTCCCGCATCCAGTGACATGAAGGTTAGGTGCAGCCAGGTTGGGCTTGGGTAGAGGATCACAGGGTATGTTTAGAGGTGAGGCCAAATGAGCTTATAGTTTGTGAAGTGGGTCGGTTTATTTTTTAACCAGTGGCTCGGGATATACGACTTCTATAGATTTTATCAATCAAACATCATTGCTTGCTATGCCTTCTTGCATGATTGCTTACGGAGAAATAGATGAAGTAAATAAATTACTGCCCTCTAGCATACAACTTACGTCGACCGTCAGGTTCCCGCCCACAGCACGAATGAAATTTATTGGAATTGGACACAAATATGCAGGTAGCGTTGGTGCATTTTTATTCATCTGTCTCGATTTAGCTGATGCGGCTCAGACAAATGGGTGCATGGTTGAAATAATACATGTACTATTTCAACCATGGATGGGTGCTTTTAGGTGGCGTGTGACAACAGTTGCGCATCGTTGACAGATTCCTTGTTTTGGGTAGTCAACATTTTTGTGGTAAGAAAATACCCGATTAGAAATTTTGTGATCTCAGAGATAATTTGAAAGCTTCATTTAAAAATTAGGTTTACCCCTAAAATTTCTTTACCTATCATTAGAAATAATTGAAGATGATTGTAAAATATGTGCATACATCCCGCAGCTGAATTAGTTCTCCCTTGCAAATTCAGAGCAAAATTAACATTTTCTAGCACCGTTCAATCACCTGAAAAGAAACGCTAGTTCAAGCTAACCCCATCACTGCGCGGTTCCTAATAAAATGACTGGCCTGTTGTATCAGACTTGGCTGTATTTTTTTGTGGTCTCCCCTTGATTGGAGATCGGTCACATTCTGGTCAAATTAGTGCCTCGCAATATATTTTACGATGCTGCAGTAACTGAGCATCAGGTGTTGTTTATAACTATAATATCACACATACATCAACTCGCTGCACTGCGTTTTTATTACTCTATACATTTGTCTTTCGAGATGCTAAGATAGTAGTTGCCAAATGCGACTCGGTTGTCTTGGTTTGAACCAAGTATGCGTACACGGAGTATAAATTATAAATGATATTATAATACTTCTCCTCACAGGCTTTTAAAACTGATTATTTGCTTTCTTAATTTAAAATTATTTTTTTTAAGATTCAGGTCAGGCATGACTGTTATTTTGAGTGGAAACTTCATTCGTCATATATTGCTGTAACTACCATTTACATGATATTTATGGCATAAAGAGGCATCCATTGACATAAATTTAAAATCAAACTGAAAAACAGATCCAAGTATACGGTGTGATTGCGAATTAACTTTGATACTTTTTCTGGAACTTTGTTTGAAATCCGGACTGCTCGGCATTAATTTTATCCTTAACGATCAATGGATCATAATNATAGTGCGTCAATAATATCATACTGACGAACACAACCGCAACTTTCCCTTTCCATTACAAATCGCCATAGATAATGTTAGGAGTTTACTGAATAATCGCTAGGTTCGTCGAAACCCAAGATTTGAACGACTATTAAACCAGGCACTTCTCCTCGTGTATAATGCCTAATCGCGGGACCTCGGGCGAAGTTTTTTGCAGGACCGCCTAACTTACAACCGCTTACTAGCTGTTCGTAATCTGACATACCGGAGCTACCGTATCGGTTGACTTCATCAACGCTGGCCCCAAAAAATATTAGGTATTGACTTCCTTTGGAATGAAGACTAGTAGGAATGTTAACCACTTGAACAGGAGACTAGTAGGAATGTTAACCACTTGAACATAGACTTCATGGCATTTACGTCATTCCATGTGCCCAAAGTTTCAATTTAATGAAGAATGAGGATTAAGATTAGGAACTCAGCATCTCATCGATCACATTTCCGCGAGAGGTGTCTCTCATTGAGGCATTTTTTTTGGTTCTAGAGATGGTCGCAGTCAGCTTCAGTTGTTTTCTTGCGCTCGTCGCTCGTCGTTTTTTCGCTCGTCGGTCATCTTTGGACGACAGTCAACAGAAACCGAAACCTTGCGATGTCATCTCGAGCGGCGACTGTGCCAAGAAACTTTGATCGCCATTATGACAAATAACAGTGGCGACCGGAATCACGTCTGTATTAAGACAGATCTTGTGTAGAAGACCAACCGGAATTATTGCGGCGCTATTTACGGCAACATACGCAATTATTTTACAATTTAACCGTACGATTTGAGCCGACCAAATGTCGCTCTGGGAAGAAGCTCTCGAAGACAGTCGATGGATGTTGAATCTCATTAAACGTTTGCTGTGTGTTTTTTCTACTGTCTTCCATATCAGGAAAATTAGACATATCAACTCCAGCAGTCAGTAGTAATTCCACTTTCTTTGTGGCAATTATGCTGTTAATAAAATTAATGCAACAAAAGACGCTCAATTGTATTAAAACGCAATTATATTATTTAAAAGTTACTCGCGACTCTTAGAGAGTCACATTCAAAATTTAACGGAGAAATTTTAAACGAATAATAAATTGAAAGCATTCTATATAACGCTGTATCATCCTTTTATCATTCCCTTAGTTTATCGGATTTTGATTGTTATAATCTTGAATTGGAAAGTTTCACCCCATTATTTCATTTAGGCAGCCAATGTCACAGTATAAAGCATTCGACTTTAGTAGAGCATGTTTCATAATTCTCTTAAATATCGTAATAATAACTTGGATGAAGTTAATGATCAGGCGAGACCATAAAGACCATAAGTAGAATGCATTTTATGGCGGCGTCGCTGATCCAAATTTCTTCCAAAGACGCGCTTTCACTCTCATTAATTAACGACATTCTCCTTTTATCGATTCAAATAAATCAGCATCGTGCCTTTTATGTCTCAGTGGAAGCATATGAGAGAATTTAAGCTACTTTTCTCCGAGCTCAACAAGTAAGAACTAGCTAGGCGGTTGGATAAATAATAGAGCTATAATGTGCAAGAGCTAGTGTGCAAGACATCGTAAAGAGCTAATGTTTGAGAGCTACTGTGCAAGACATCGTAAAGAGCTAATGTTTGAGAGCTACTGTGCAAGACATCGTAAAGAGCTAATGTTTGAGAGCTACTGTGCAAGACATCGTAAAGAGCTAATGTTTGAGAGCTACTGTGCAAGACATCGTAAACAAAATTTGTGGTAATTCAATAATAATTATCTCTTGCTGCACCTCATTAATGTTCTACCCATGTCAATATTCTCAAGAAGTGCGCTGTTGTTAGATTATTTTTTTCATGAGCAATTTTAATACAAGTACACCATAGAAAACAATAACAACTGCATTAGATGGTTCTCGAAACACTAGAGCTAACATAAAATAAGGAAATGTTGAATTATTCATCGGCTTACGGGACCAAATCTCCATGTCCTCTTTTAATTTGAGAGTCGAAGATAAA